CAAAACAGTCACCCCAGAACCCCGATCTGCCCAGTTCTCTGGCCCAAAGTGGCTTAGCTTTCAGAACTTGTAGAGTATAATTGAATTTTGTTAAAAAATTATGTGGAAGGCCAGGCTTGGTGGTACACACCTGAAACCCCAGCACTCAGGAGGAAGATTATGAGTTTGAGGCCAACACAGACAAATACAGTGAGACCCTGTCTCAAAACAAAACAAGACAAACAAAACAAAATTATGTTGACATTCTGCCAAGTACAAGGTCCTGAGTTCAACTCCTGCTACCAGAAAAAAAAAAATTATGTTGACATGATTTTAAAAGAATAGTTGTACCTACCTGTGGCTACCTCCTGGGGGTGGAGATGAGATTATGGTAGGGGTTGTTGCCTGTCACTCCTCCACATGTATATAATTTTTTACTATAAACACGCAAGGCCAGGTGTGATGGTGCACACCTGTAATCTCAGCACTCAGGAGGCTGAGGCATGAAGACTGCTGCGAGTTCAAGTCAGCCTGAATTACACAGTGAGACCTTTTCTCAAAAAACAAAATTTAAACCAGCACTTGGGAGGCTGAGGCAGGAGGACTGCTGTGAGTTCGAGACCAGGCTGGGCTACATAGTGAGTTCCAGGTCAGTCTGAACTATATAGTGAGACCCTGCCTCAAAAAACCAAAAAATAAAAATAAAAATAAATTTTTTAAATTAAAACTAAAAAAACCCCCAAAATAGGCAGCAATTTTGTAACCACAATAAAATTTAGGAGCCTGGGATATGTAGTTCAGTGGTAGAACAGGTGATTTGCATGTGCAGAGCTCTGGATTCAAATTCCAGCATATGGGTAACAAAAAGGCTCTAAAACAACAACAACAAAAATGAAAATCTCATAGATCCACTTTAATATGGTTAATTTTATGTTATATGAATTCTTCCTGAACTAAAAAAGTCATTATGCTAGGGCTGGGGATTTAGCTCAGTGGTCCGCCACCTGCCTCACCAGTGCAAGGTCCCAAATTCAATCCCCCAAATGAACAACAACATAAGAAAAATTGCAGTACAGCAGAGAGGAAAATACCACATATAGGTCCTAACAATTTCAGCTGAGGTGGAGCACTTAACTAGATTGCTAAGGCCCTGGGTTTGATCCTCCACACTGAAAAAAAAAATTCGCTTAAAAAAATTTTATCGGGGCCGGGGATTTAGCTCAGTGGTTCTGCCACCTGCCTCACAAGCACAAGGTCCTGAGTTTGATCCCTGGTACAAAAAAAAAAAAAAAAAAAAAAAAATTTATCGGTCACATGTGGTGGCACATACCTATAATCTCAGCATTCAAGAAGCTGAGGCAGGAGGATCCCTGAAAATTCCAGGCCAGCATGGGCTACACAGTGAATTCAAGGGCAGACTGAACTACAGAATAAGACCCTGTCACAAAACAAACACACACACACACACACACACACACACACACACACACACGTTATCTATTATTGATTTATTTGGCAGTAATGGAGATTGAACCCATGGCCTTTTTGTTCTGAACGACATCCCTAACCCACCCCTTTACATTTTTTCAAAAATTAAATTAAATTTTGTTTTTTTGAGACAGGGTCTCAGTATGTAGCTCAGATTGGCGTTTTATTATCCTAGGCTGGCCTTGAACTCAAAGCAGTTCTCCTGCCTTAACCTCCTAAGTGCTAGGATCACAGGTGTGTGCCACCACACCTGGAAGAAAGTACTTTATTTTGGCAGCCCTTGCAGATTGAGCTCAAAGCCTCACACATGCTAAGTGAGTGTTCTGCCACTGAGTACGTCCCCACCCCTTCTCATCAAACTATTTAGCCTGAACCTAATCAGACTGCAAGATCCAATTCCCACTTTTCAATAAATATAAGGGACAGAGGAACGTGCTAAATACACAATGGGGACATAATCAGATGGAGTCAGAATGTGGGACATTCTGTAAGATGATTGCTTGGATTAAAAAAAAAAAAGTAAGTGCTAGACATTGTGGTGCATTGTCCATAATTCCAGCACTCAGGAGGCTGAGACAGGAGATCAGTGTGAGCTTAAGGCCAGCCTGGGCTACATAGTGAGTTCAACTCCAGCCTGATCTACATATGAGATCTTGTGTTAAAAAGGCGGGGGTGGGATTTAGCTCAGCGGTGCCACTGCCTGCCTTGCAAGGGCAAGGAGCTGAGTTTGATCCCGTCTCCCCCACACCAAAAAAAGGTGTCATAGGCTGGAGGTGTAGCTCAGTGGTGATGATTTGTCTGGCATACACAAGGCCCTGGTTCAATCCCCAACACAGAAGAAAAAAAAAACAAAAAACTAACAAAGGCAAGAAAAAAGGCAGAGCAACTGATATAAGGTGTCAGATGAAATGCAAAATTGTTACCACCAATACCAACAACAGGATCTTTCATTTCATTTTGAGAGAGAGGCTCGCTAAGCAGTTCAGGCTGGCCTCAAACTGGTGGCAATCTTCCTGCCTCAGTCTCCCCAATGCTGAGATTACAGGTGTGCACCACCATGTCTGGCTATGAGGGCCCTTTTGGCCCAGACATGGTAAACATCAGACTAGGCCAAACATTGTGACCACACCCACTTCTGCACAGGCAAAGCTTTATAATGGGCAGGGGGCTTTGGCCAAATTGGACCTTTGGCTGAAGGGACAAAAAAACTGGTGGAGAATTTGATCAAGCAGCTACTCACAGATCAAAGAATACACAGGTTTTTACTGATTTGCTGGAGTTGTGGCTAAAGCCTGATAATTTCCATCGGCCAGTAGCATGGTACCAAAAACTGTTTCTTCTTGGGGAAGACTTAGCCTGGGTGGTCAATGTCAGCTCCTTCTGGAGGCTGTTAAACGTTCATATATCTGGCACTATTATCCTGCTCGAAACATCCTGGCCTTTAGGGGCTGGGGCCCATCAGAGCCAAAGGGCTGCAGATGCTTGGGTTTTAGCAGCTTCTGGAGAAGCACACTACTGGGGGCAGAAAAGAGAAGGAAAAAGAAAAAGAAAACACATACCAACTCCAATGGGGAACAGGTAAAGTTAGCCCTGTGTTAAATCCTTAGTCAAAACATTTTTTTAATAATCACCACGTCTGTGTGAAGAGCTGAGGAGAATCTGAGCCAAGGATTAAGGTAGCAGAGGGGACAGACACAATGTGAAAACAGATGTGCCGCGTCATTTATCCCATTTTACTCACTCATTAGGCTTCTGAAGGCTCAAGTGAGGGGTCAATGTTTTTCAGAAAAAGAGGCCTTCAGGGCTGGGCATACCCCTGTAATCTCAGCACTCTGGGAGGCGGAGGCAGGAGGACTGCAAATTCCATTTAGCAATTTTACAAGATCTTGTCTCAATATTTAAAAGAGGCTGGGAGATGTGGCTCAGTGCAACAGCCATGAGTTCAATCCCCAGTTATGAGAAAAAAAAGTCTTTAGACCCCCAAGAAGTAAAACAGGCTATTGTTATAATTCACATGCTTAATTAGTTTCTTTTCTTTTTGTTTTCTTTTTGGTACTGGGGATCGAACTCAGGACCTTGCACTTGTGAAGGAGGCAGCAGAAGCACTGAGCTAAATCCATGGCCCTAGTTTCTTTTTTCTTGGTAACAGTTTCTTATTGCTGGGCTGGGGATTTAGCTGAGTGGTTCCCCGCCTGCCTTGCAAGCACAAGGTCCCATTTTTTCTCCCCAGTACCAAAAAAAAAAAAAAAAAAAAAAAAAA